CATAAACACACACACACACACACACACACACACACACACACACATACACACACACACACACAAGTGCTCGCACGGGCGAACACACACACCCACCCACCTGCGCCTGTACAGCATCATCGAACCCGAAGTAGACCATCTGAGGCACGTTGTTGCTCCCCAAGGGATGCTCGAATGTCGGGCAGAAGCAGTCTGGCAGACGACAGTTCTGTTCCTGTTGGCAACCAGACGCCCCATATGCAATTGTAAGTGGCAGACCCACTGCCAGCAGAACGACACACAGCATGGGTGTGGTTAGGGCTGAATCCCGGGAAATCATTTCAGGCACTGAGTTTTCCTACCTAAACAAGTGTTCTGTTAAAAAACTAAGGCTTCGGTTGTTTAAACTTTATGCTGAAGTCTTTTTTTTCTCTTTTTGTCCTTAGTTAAAAGGTATAAATTTCCTTATCCTACAAGAGTTTGCACTTGAAATCCAAATGGATCTAAATACATCCGAAAAGCAATGGAAAAGAATCACTAGAAAAATCACAAAAATGAAGAGTGACGACTAGGACCAGATTGAAATTCAAGGGGTCTATCTGAAGAACAAACGCTGGGACAGACGCAGACTTCCACTGGCGTCCCCTGCTGAAGATGATCCGACCGACTCGACTTCACGACCTCTGCTGGCCAGCGCTGGTCCCGGCGGCTGAGACTTCTAATTTATTTGTAAACGCCTGTGCGGCACGGGACGTGACGACAGCCAACCAGAAGGCGAGGATTATCAAGCCCAAAGTTTGGTAGCGACTTAATGCTGTCGTGGGAAAATCTCGGCGGACACCCGGGGTAGATAGGCGGCTCGTGGGTACGTCTCGGGTTCACCCTGTGTGTATATTATGAAGCTGATTCGGCGACACCTGTCTCTAAACGGTCACTGTGGAGGGTGGAGACTGGGAAGGAGAAAAAGGAAGGGAGGGAGAGGGAGGCGCCTTGAGCCAATGGGAGCAATGGGTTCTCTATGCTTTTAGAATACTTTATCATTATTAGCCCGTCTTTCTTGGGATGGTGAGACATAGGATTCGATGCCGGCAAACAATCATTTTAAAAGGGTATCAAACAATACGTTGAATAGCCTATTGTTTTCGTTGTCTGGAATTAAATGAGTTATAAGCGTGGTGTACGTACTGTGTTGTTCTCCTCGGCTACAAGTACACATGTATTACACTTAGATACATGTACCTTCACCACGCTCACCCCACACTTCACCACGCACCTCTTTCTCTTTGTTACCCTCCGAAAACTGATTAATTACGTTGTGAGGGTGAAGACTGGTTTGAAACTTGGTCTGCACTTAGTCAATCAACAGCTCAAAAACCACACGTATGTCTTAGAGGTGTGGCCGCACGTCCAAGCCGCTCTGAGAGCACGCTATATAAGATCTGTTTACAAATTGAAGTCTATTGTGTTTAAAAGTATAAACGCCAAGTATGTAAATACAAACATAGTTCATCAGATACTAAATTATCTCTAGAATATGACGGCTAAGAAAGTAATTTTCTGATAAAACTTTTCAGTACGAAGTCACAGCAGGCCACACCGTTTCAGCTGCGCAATGTGTGTGTGTGGGGGGGGGGGAGGGGAGGGGGGGGGAGAAGGTTGGAATGGTGTTCATTCAAAAGACCAAAATTTTGAATGTCTCTTGTAGCAATGGAATATATGAAAGAAATCAAGGGACCAAGTCCTAAAACATATTCTTTAAGATTTAAAACAAAATGGGACTTGAGCTTAAAATGTGACCCTTTTGTTTTCCTTTCGTTTGAACACATCGCATGTTGTCTCAAGTATTTAGATGAATTTAGAATGGTATTCTGGTTATTTAGCTGTACATTATGGATTTGTAAATCAGGGATAGGAAAATATACTACGGACGTTTTCAGCTTTTTAAAATGTCAATACAGACTTCACACATTATATCGACCTATGGGGAGAGGAGAGTAACATCGGAGACATTGATTGTTTGATGCAGATTTATAATCTTTTTTCCATTTCAGATATTACCATAGATTGGGGCAACTGGACTAAGCACGGGAGACAAAACATCCCGAAAATGCATGTTGTTTATTCATTATCGTTCACAACAGTAACTAAAAAAAAAGATAAAATATGCTGGGCAGAGAGTTGAATATACAATCGGCCCTCAAAGATTAGTACTGGCAGAATAACACAAATGTGATGTAGATGCTTAAATAAAACGTACGCCTATCCTCACCCCCTTCCAGGTATGCAGAGTATTAACTAATAATTTCATTTCTCATGTTGCCTGTGCCATGAGGGCAATTTCTTCTCTGAATCGTCCCTACTTTCGGGGGAGTTGCTGGAGAAAGTCACTGGTCCATCTTTTCTTTTCACCTGTTGCTTTTGTCCTTCCTTCCTATTTTGTTTTGTTGTTTTTTTTGGTCCTCAAAATGCCCTGAACTTCTACACTTTACACGACGTGGGGCGGGCGCTATTCCATGAGATGCCGGGTTAACATTAAGCAGGAAGGACCCCCGACTTACTTACTTTCTTTTACTTTTTTCTTCCGCTTGTACCCTGGGGTGTCGCGGGGAGACACAGGTGTCTGTCTGCAGCAAGTCGTGTGGCCTGTAGGAGGGACATCCCATGATCTTTAAGGGTGTCTGCCACAGATTCACTCCATCGTCGCCTTGGTCTTCCTCTGGCTCTCCATCCAGAATATTTAATGTTGTATGCTCTCAGAGCTGGATGGTTTGAGGGCATCCGCGTGAGGTGTCCGAACCACTTGACCTTTTGTTTTTCAATGTGTGGTAGGACTGGTGTTGCTCCCACGGTGTCCCTTATGACTTCATTTTTAATTTTGTCTCTTCTTGTTTTGTTGACCGCTCTTCTTAAGCATTTCATCTCGCATGTGACCAGTTTCCTCTCTAGGGCTTTTGTTAGAGTCCATGTCTGGCACTGATATGTGAGCGTTGGAAGGAAAATGGCGTTGATGAGCTTCGCCTTGGTGCTCATGGGGATATTGGGATGTTTCAGGAGAGGGCCCAGTTGGTAGCTGACTGCGTTGGCTCTCTGGCATCTAGTCTCTATCTCTCGATCTAATTTTCCATTTTCTGTGAAAATGCTGCCCAAGTATTGGAATTCTCTGCTTTGTTTTAGTTGGGATCCATTGATGTTGATATCCACTTTACCTGGTCTCCTGCTAATTGTCATGACTTCGGTCTTGCTTATACTGATCTTCATGTCATATTTTTCGCAGCTCGCATTCCGGATAATATAGAGCCAGGTCAGTGGAGAGCCATGAAAAACTCCCGAAACAACCGAAGTACAACCCCCCCCCCCCCCTTTCTCTCTCTCACAGTCGGGGATTCTGCCCTGTGTTCCAACATGATGGTATTACATGTATCAGAAAACGAAACAGACAAAAGACGGAAGTTTTGGAAACTATGTCGCCTTCAACCTTAAGTACTTGTCGTGGTTTATTCTGATATCGACAGCTGTCTTCCAATCCGAGTGTAGAATTCTGCGTCTGAATAACAATTGACATTATTGAGTTGAACATGGTGCAACATTAAGGATATTTGAAATGACTGGAAATATCAGGATATTGGGGTTTTTTGGAGGGTAGTGTTATTTTTCATTTTATTTGTTGTTATTATTTGTTGTTGCCGTTGGTGTTGCTTTTGGGCTTGTTTGTTTGTTTGTTTGTTTGTTTGTTTGTTTGGTCGGAAAAGAGAACAGAGCCTGACAACGAATATCAAGAGCAGGGTAAAAGCGAGACAAACAATAAACATAAAAACGAGAGGGGGAGGGACAGCAAAGAAGTAGAAGAGTTCACAGGAGATACCCTTCATTCCCACCCCCCCTGAAAAAAGAACCCCCCCCAAAAAAAAAATATATATCGGGGCACAGGTATCATTATCTGACAAGTAGCGAATTTTCTCCTCAACCACGTCGCATGAGTGATATACCGGACTGTCCATTTTGAAGTGGTAGCTGCACATCTTTAAGCATATCTGGCAAAGAGTAACTTAAGTCAACGAGATCACGGGGGTGGGGGGAGGGGGGACTTCCAAAACTAATTTCAAAAGCTGGTTTTAAAATCTGTCGTGTATACGACTCAAATTTACAAACCACCAAGGTACAGAAACAAACCCAGGTGGGTGGTTGGCGGGTGCTCTGGTGTGGTTTGCTTCTTCTTTCCTAACCAACATCTATCGTCCTTATCTCCCCTCCTTCTTTTTTATGTTTGTTACTCTCTTGTAACACCTCTAATCCTCTGGCGCTCATATGACCTTATGCAGTTGCGAGCGCCGTAAAGCCTCTACTAAAACTAAAACTAAACTCAGGTTGATTCAGACTTAAGTCTCCAATGCCTTACTTAAATCATGCCGTACCTACTGAGCCAACGGCTTACTCTTAGGACAATCTTATATTCGACAGCGCCTAACAGTCTTATTAGTTTTGACTCCATTCTTGTCATGAAACCAACACGAGCTAAAAGATGGAGGGTGTGGTTTGGGGAATGTCACTGATACACGACGTGGACATGATAGATGTTTAAAGTATTTTTGTCATGAAATGCCCTGCCAAGATACAGTGAGGATCCACAGGTGTTAGTTGATCTCGCCAACCTAATCCCGAACATCCTGAGTGATGCGGCACTTCCCGGGGGTTATGAAACGTATGGGTGATTTCTGCACTGGAGAATGGAAGTTGTCCTTCTCCTATTTCAGTAAAAACGGACCAATCACTGCTAGGCTATGGAATTAAGGTGTGTCACGCCTCTTAGATAAATAAAGTTGTAACTCCTGAGCAGTTGTTTCTACGGTATTACTTGAAGCTAGAAGTTATATCTAACAGATAAGCCTAATTTTTCATAGGAAGAATGACTTGACTTTAATTAAAACTGTTCAAATTGGAGTTAGACTATTCTTTTCCACTTGACACTTGAAGAAGACATGCCCTTGTTTCGCTAAACATTTGACACACCTCCCACTTTTAGTTGATAGTTAAGAAGAAACAGAGTGTTAAATAAAACATGAACGATAAATAGTGACGTTTCTTCAAGGGGAGAGAGAGTTGATAGAGCTGACCATGCACCTATACGAGAACATATACAAAAAGTCTCGTTTTTCAGAAACAAGGGCGCAACCCTTTTGCTTGTGGGATGTTTCTTGCCTGTTTCCCTAATGCAAGGGCTGGATCATTTCTCTGCTCTCATGATGACTTCTGTGGGGTTCTCTGTCGTTCAGTCTGTCGAGAGAGTTCACAGTATCGCAAAAAGACTCTAGAAACCTAGCCTTCCTTCTGGATGACCGGTTCGGATCAAGAAGGACCTTCCTCAACTCATATACATGTACACGTATTTTAAATATAAAGCCCTGTCCTTCTGGTTCAATTTGTTGCACTGTTTTGACTGTAAATTAGTTGCGTACATGTATAAATCAAATGTTTCAAGGCCTGCCCCCCATCGAAACGAAAAATAGATCAGTTAGGGGATCGGATGCTTCGACCGTGCCTATCAGGTCCAATATGCGCGGGCACGATATAACGCCCCAGCTGACAAATGGAGACCACTTCTCTATAAAACGGTCTCTTCACGCAGGAGTCGAACCCACGTCTTCGGAGAGCACACGGCAGGCAATGAGCACCATCACACCACAGATGCCGGTTTGTCCGGAGTTAAGTGTGGCAATACC